CATCACACAAAATGTGTGTGCATGCGTGCGTGCGTGTGTGTGTGTGTGTGTGTGTGTGTGTGTGTACGTGTACGTGTACCCTATGTCCAGGTACTTTTTTCAGTGTGGTAAAATGTGATCACAATTTGAACCTAAGACCAGTTGACTGCAGAGTGAACCCCCTTTACCATAATTGAGGATGCAGGAAGAATTTATAGCACAGTGCAAGGGACCAAGTAGGTGCTTCATTAATGTGACTATTGGTGTGGCAATTATCAAGATGACTTTTAAAGAGTTATTCCATCTTCCCCACCCCTGTTCACAGTCGCTCAAGCCTCAATGCCAAGCCTCATGACAGCCTTGACCTGAACTGTGATAGCCGGGACTTCGTGGCTGCCATCATCAGTATCCCCACCCCTCCTGCCAACACACCAGATGAGAGTCAACCTTCCTCCCCTGGTGGTGGTGGTGGCAGTGGTGGCAGAAGCAACACTACCCTCAGGAACTCCAGCTTGGGTACCCCCTGCCTCCTTCCTGAGACTGTGAAGATCTCTTCCCTGTGAGGGATGGGTCTGCCCACTCAGAGGGCCTCTTAATTTTTGGGAACTCCTTTCCAAAGCCATATTTGGGAGAGGCAAAGAGGGGCAGACCTGGGGACCCCTTATGCTCCCTGCCAAGAACTATGCAATGGAGTTTCATGGAATGGCCCATCTGGTGGGGAAGTAACTAGGGCATGGGTAACAATTTTCCTAACGGGGGCTGAAGCACTGGGACTCCATAGGTCCTGGCCTCCTTGCCTCAGCATGCTGGGAGTGGCCTCTCTCTCCTAAGCTGGCCTCTTGCATGCTCCTCCCTTGGGCCCTCAGAGGCAGGTTAAAGTGTTCTGTAGTCTAACATTTGAGGTCTGGCCTGACAAGAAGAGTTGAGAGTTCCTCTTCTCTTTGGCTATGCTGTGCAAGTTCGAGGGTTCATAGAAGAGAACCCTCAACTCTAATTTAGCCTATAGTGGGCAAGATCTTTGCCCTTCACCAGGCCCAGCACTTTCCAGATTTGGAAGTTTGGAATACAGCTGTGGGCTGGCTTAATGGGCTGTGGCCTCTGTAGTGACCCACTGCCCCCAAGCTTTGCCTGAGGGGTCAGGCTGCTTCTCCTAACACAGAGATAGCACAAACACCACCACCCCCTTCCCCGGCTGCTGGAAATGAGTTCCTGCCACCTGTCCTCTGCTGGGCCTCCAGCAAATTCTAGCAATAGCAGCTGCTGCCGTAACCATATGCAAAGCCTCAGACCAATTTGCTGCAGCATATACATCTGCCCCGATCAGATGGGCCATATCTAACTACTTTCTTCTCTGGTGTTTTTCTTCTTGGGTTGGTCTGGAGTCTGGACATGCTGAGATAAGAGTCTGGCACCCAGCTAGAGCAAGGCTGGGTTTTGAGATCATGGGCTGACTCTTTCGTCTTGGGCGGGAGTCCAGAAGTGTTGTAGGCAGAAGCCTGGGTTGTTTCAGAACCCTGGGAGGGATAGAAGAGACTTTTCGATTGCCTCCCCCACCCCGTAATTTCCACATAGTCTTCTCCTCTCTCTTGGGTCACCTGCTGGATCTGTGCTCAGACTGAAATCTCACATCATCTCAGGTTCCCTGTCTCCCAGCTCTTTCCCCCCCGTGAAGCTGGCAGCTGACAAAGATGAAGTCTTCATCAATCAATAAAACTTAAGAGGAGAGATGTGGATTGAGCATCTGCTGACTCTGGATTGACTTTGAGGGCTTGGCTGAGGGGTTAAGGACACTCTGGTCTCAATTTCTTTCAACAGTGAAAGGGCTGGTGTGGGTAGAGGTATGGGATATGGGAGGCAGATGGCTAGTGATGTATTCTTGAAGATGAGGATCATGGAGAAATGAAAGAGGGCGGTAGGAAGAGTTGGCCTCTGGAGGCAGTAAAGCAGGCCAAAGGGTACTAAGACTGATGTATCTTGGAATTTTTTTCCAAGACAGGATTTCTCTGTATAGACCTGACTGTTCTGGAACTAGCTCTGTAGTTCAGGCTGACCTTGAACTCAAGAGATCTGCCTGCCTCTGTCTCATGAATGCTGGGATCAAAGGCATGTGTCACCATGCCCAGTGGTGTACCATGGATATGAATCTGTCCAAGTCCTTCATTCACAGATGGAGAAGCCAAGATCCAGAGCAACATTGTTGTTACTTAGAGGAGTAACAAGCTTATGCTTTCTGATAGCAAAAACCTACAATTTAACCCTAATAAAATTATTTCTGAGTTTGTTATATCCTCCTTTGTCATGGATGTCCCCTGCATTCACTCCTGGATGCTGGCCACGCCAGGCTAGTATGTGACTGAGCTCTGTAGAGCACTGCGAAGACAAATAGTGGATTCAGACTGCCATGTTTCAGGCCTTGGGTGAGAGGATCGCCTTTTGTGTCAGGTTGCTAATTTGAAATAGATAATATTTTTGTTTGTTTTAGTTTTAGTTTTTTGAGACAGGGTTTCCCTGTGTAGCTTTGGAGCCTGCTCTGGAATTTGCTCTGTAGACCAGGTTGGTCTTGAACTCACAAAGATCCACCTGCCTCTACATCCCAAGTGCTGGGATTAAAGGCGTGTGCCACCACTGCCTGGCCAGTAGTTTTTTATTCATCAAATATTTATTAGCTGCCCATCATATACTAGCACTATGGTACAATGATGGGCAAAGTGGCGTTACTATGTTTAATATACAGAGTTGAGCATGGAAGACAGACAAGCAATTCCAGTACGAGGTGGTGGAACTAAGAGTGATGAATTATAGAAAAATAGATGGCAAAGTAACCTAAACTGGCTAGCATAGGATTTGTATGTATACAAGGAGTTGGAGTTAGGCAAGAGAGGAAAGGCTGAAAATCTGGGTGGAGGGCACAGTGTGTACAATGATCTGGAGGCTAGAGAGTGAGCTCAATGCCTTTGGGGAACTGAAAGTAGTTCAGTCTAGCTGGAAAGGAGGGTGCAAGGCTGAAGGGAGGGAAGTAGATAGTACAGGTTGCAAAAGACCTTGCATAAGGGGGGACCACTGAAGACTCAAAAACAGGGAAGTCATTAAGTTTCCATTTCAGAAGGATAATTTTGGCCATGGGGAAAAAGTTATGGAGAAAAAGTCTTGAGTGAAGGAGACTCAGTCAAGGACTTTTGTGATAGTCCATTTGGTAGGGGATGTTGGCTTGCCTAGATTGATAGCAGTAGAATTCAAAAGTTGTTGCTTGGGAAGCAGAGACAGGAGAATCTCTGTGAGTTCGAGGCTAGCCTGGTCTACAGAGCGAATTCCAGGACAGTCTCCAAAGCTACAGAGAGAAACTCTGTCTCAAAACCAAGCCAAACCAAACTAAAGAAAGTCATGAAATTCCAGGGATAGAATGAGCAGGACTTGGAATTGACAGGCAAATGGGAAGTGGAGAAGAGGAAGCTGTCAAATTTGACTCAGGTTTCTGGTTTGGGCAAAGGACCCCCTGGTGGAGGGGTCCTTTTGCTATTAAAGGACACATGAAAGCTATTACTACAGTGTCGGGTATATAATTAAGTATTGGGTAAAGGCTAGTCTAGTTTTAGGTGGGTAGTGCTGAGCAGATATCCTGTAGGCAATGGGATATATGTCCAAAGACAACAATAAGATAAGTCGGTATAATGTTCATCAGCATTGGGCAGAAATCCCTGAATACAGAAGTCCCAGTAGGTATGAGTCTCCTCCTCCTGTGAAGTCTCAAGAGCAGAAAACATCACTAGGACCCATATATACCCATGTATTATTGATGCCTTTCAGAGAAAAGCTTCTATTAAGGTTAGCATCTGAGGGGAGGAGGTTAGGTGGTCTTTCTGTCTCCTCCAAAATATCTTTTGTTGGAGACAGGGTCACCATGTAGAGTTCAGGCTAGCCTTGAACTCTATCTCTTTAAAATTATTTTATATGTATTGGTGTTTTGTCTACATGTATGTGCTTGCATCACGAGCATGCCTAGAGCAGGCTGAGGCCAAAAGGGGTTTTCAGATCCCTGGGACTGGAGTTTCAGACGGTTGTGAACCACCATGTGGGTGCTGGAAATTGAACCTGGGTCCTCTGGAAGAGCAAATGCGTGCTCTCTCTCTCTCTCTCTCTCTCTGTCTCTTTGTTTCTCTCTCTATGTCTCTCTCTCTCTCTCTCTCTCTCTCTCTCTCTCTCTCTCTCTCTCTTTGGTTTTTCGAGACAGGGTTTCTCTGTGTAGCTCTGAGCTTTGGTGCCTGTCCTGGATTGAGCTCTTATAGACAAGACTGGCCTAGAACTCACAGAGATCTTCCTGCTCTGCCTCCCGAGTGCTGGGATTAAAGGCGTGCACCACCATCACCTGGCTGAGCAAATACTCTTAACCGCTTAGCTGTCTGTCCAGCCCCTGGCTTTGAATTCTTGATCGTCCTGCCTGAACTTCCAGAACAATGATAGCCCATTGCTGATACTGCGCTTTGGATAGGAAATCTTAAAAGAGACAATGATTTGCAAAAGGTTCATAATGATCCATGTGTGGCTAGAACCGAGGTTTTCCTTCTACAGAATCAAAGTCCAGTATTCTTCTCCTGCATTACCATAGATTCTAATTTATATAGCACTTACTGTGCGCCATGCACAGAACCAGGCCATTTATTGGCATTAATTTCTAACACAGAAATTATTGCTGTTTTACAGAGAACTAGAAAGAGGATGGATCAGGTGTTAACTAACTTGCTTTAAACACTCAAACATTAAGGGCCACGCTAGTAGCGTTCTAGCTGCTCAATATCAAGGATTTTGCCAACACCACTGGGAGACACTAGCTGCTGACAGTGTTGATTTGTAAACTTTCTCTTTTCCTGAGTAAACTAGGATGGGGGCGGTGGAAGGGGTGATAAAGGCTGTACCGCGCCTGCGCAATAGCCATGGGCTTGAGGAGGTCAACGTGAGGGTAAGAGGGCGGAGGTGACAGAGAAGGCGTGTCTTTCTGCCAAATACTAACTATCCGTATGGTGCACGTCTGTCTAGCGTTTGGCTGATCTGAAATGATGGGCAGAATCGTTAAGCCAATCACCGCAAGGTTACGTTTGTTGTCAGGGTGAAGCACGGCCCGCCTTTTCCGGTGGGTGGGACCGGAAGTGACGACAGAGGGATGATACGCTCTGGGAATGTTGATATTTTCCAGTGAGTGTGTTCTGAGTTCCAGATGGGATCCTTCAGGAAGCTAGTTGTACGGTTCGCGAGGCTGACCATTTCGTTTATAGTACCGATGCCTGTGGGTTAGAACCTTGGAGGAAATAAAGAACAGAACGGAACCGACGAGGAAAGCTGGGAGCACGGCTACAAACTTTGAAATTTGAGACGGAGGACACGAGAGAGCGAGCGCTCATCCCTGATTGGCTCGTGCGTGTTGTCAAGGCTTTACGCAGCTTCTTCAATTGGTTGATGTGTGCAGTTGTGACCGCGGCGACGATTTTGCCCACGTACTTCCGAAAAAGAGGCCGGGTTGTGCCCCGCTGCGCGTGCGCACAGCCCGGGAGGCCCCACCCGGTAGTTCAAGAACCTGTGTAGGGGCGGGGCGAAGAGGTGCTTGTTTTGGTTGTGTTTCCTTTGAAGCTGAATCCCGGAACAAGGTAGCAATAAGCTTGGCTGGACTTGGAGGGAGAAAAAGCTCCGACGAATTCGTCTTTGCACCATCCTATTGGACCTCACATCCGGGATCTCCCCCGGGCGTGACCTGCGTTCTCCTACGGTTCTCGAACCGGTGTCCTGATCTCTTTATCCAGGCCTCGCCGTTCCCATCGTGCTTCGCGCACAACAGTAGCCCCCTCATCCGGGTTCTCTCCCGGCGTTCTCCGCGTCTGGTTTGCTGTGGGGTACTTGGCGGTGCCGCCATGACTATTCTCCCCAAA